CTGGACAGAACATGGCAAAATAGACCGGCTGCAGGTGGGCAAAGGAGCGTGACAAGGCTGCATACTTCCCACTTATTTATTCAAACTATATGCTGAACATATATTGGAAGAGGCTATATTTGAAGAAGATGAGCATGGTTTTAAAACTGGAGGAAGAAACATCAATAGTCTGCACTATACTGAAGACACTACCCGGATGGCCAAAAATGCAAAGGATCTGGAAGCTCTAGTAATAAAAGGAGCACAGTGAAGGAATGGGATTAAAATTAAATATAAAAAAGACCAAACTAATGATAACAAGTAGAACAACCAGCCTTAGAAATGACAGTGAAGGTATTGAAGTGCTGGACAGCTTCTGCCTTTCAGAATCAACCTTGATATGTCTATACCTACAAAGGTCAGAGTCGTGCAACCCGTGGTATTCCCTGTGACACTCAATGGAAGTGAAAGTTGGACTTTGAAGAAGCAGGACAGGAAGAGCATTGATACCTTTGAACTTTGGTGTTGGAAAAGACTCCTGAGAATACCGCGGACAGCCAAGAAAACAAACTGATGGATCGTCAAAGAAATCAAGCCAGAGTTCTCCCTTGAGGCACAAATGGCCAGGCTCAAATTATCCTACTCTGGACACATCACGCAAAGGCCCAACTCTCTGGAAAAGGCTCTAATGCTGGGAAAGGTGGAAGGAAGGAAAAGAAGAGGATGACCAGCAGCGAGGTGGATGGACTCAGTTACAGTGGTGATGGGGGCATCACTGGAAGCCTTGAAGGGCCCGTTCATCTTGGAGAGGATCTATATGCTTACTGAGATTCAACACCAACTTGATGGCACATAATCAGTCAGAGGAGAATTTAGTGATGTTATCCATTATTAATCAGGAACCATTAGGAAGGGCAAAAAATGCAAGAGGAAGCTAATAAATAAGATTGTTGATCAGGATTTATTTCTAGGTAATGTCCTAGAAAGACCAGAACCATAGGGAAATGGTATTGTTAGACAATGTACTGCAACCCAGTGCCCACTATAACTTCCATTATCCCTAGCTAGCCCAGCTCTTGGGTGAATGAGGATGATCTGAAGGGTACTGGATCAGAGAGACTGCAAAAGGAGGACTCCACCCCCAGAAGAACAGTAAGAGCAGGCCTACTGGACTGAGCCAAGGCCCATCTTAGCCAACATTTTGTTCCTCAGGTGTTGACCTAGCCCTTTCCCATTGTTGTCCCCAACTTGATCTGCTGCATATTATTCCCAGAGGAGGAGGAATTTCTACACCATATTCCTTGAAATAACAAATGTGCCTCAGTCTCCTGTCTTATCATGATGGTCCCACTGGTCCTGTTCCTTGCCTGGTCCTGTCCCTTCTTTAGCACAGGAGACTCTGCTTTCTCCTGTTACAAAATGAATTGTTTTTATTAGACTTCTATCCCAGATGGGGAGTTCCTTGTCAGTTTTCCACCCAGGCCCAGAGCAGACCCAGAGCTCTGTCAGTTTAGCCATCATGGACAAGCTTCCATGTTGGAGCAGCCTCTGAAGTTCTAAGTGGTTGGTGGCTGCAGAAAAACGTACTCTTGGCTGCAGTGGTTTCCAGGGACAATGCAAGGGGTTAGCCAAAATCTTTGAAAACCCAAAGTGAGTCCAAGGTTCCTTAGGGGCTGCCTCCTCCCATCTTGGCCCACTCTGGTGGACAGGCAGAGGTTCCACCTAAGCTCTGGAAACCCCTGGCCTGGGAGTCCCAACAGGTAAAGATTTTTTTCTTTTAGGGAGACATTCTCTCCACAAGCAAGCCGTCTTCACTTCAGAAGGTGGCATCGGTTCTATCAATTTTATTAAATACTCATATGTTTATAGCTTTGTTTTAAACATCATATGGGTCATAAATGCCCTAGGTCACCCTATGCATAAGAATGCATATGCATAAGAAGGCAGATAGAAAATTTCTATTAATTATTTAATAATAATTCTATTATTATTATTGGGAAATGGTGTTTGCCCAAATAGGCCAAAAGATGTGCAGGAATGGCAAACATGTGACAACAAAACTCGAGAGAAAGGCTTTGTGCTGTGCGGTGGCACCACGACTGTAAAACCAGAACAAAGAACATTAAAATTGGGATGTCAGAGGCACTGATTCCTCCCATACTTCTTAAAGAGCAAACATCCCAAATTGAGAAAAAGTTTTGAGAAGAATGATAGGAAAAATGCACAGAAAGCTCAAAGATTGAGCATGTTTTTATCTACATTAATAT